CTTCCTTCCTTCCTCCCTCCCTCCCTCTCCCCCAATTGTTCCTTCACTCCTCCCTCCCTCCCTTCCCTCTCCCCCAATCCTCTCCTTCACTCTTCCCTCCCTTCCCTCTCCCCAATCCTTCCTTTGTTCCCCCTTTAATACTTCCTTTCTCCCTCCCTTCCTCCCCTCTCCCCCAATTGTTCCTTCACTCCCTCTCCCTCCCTCCCTCTCTCCCTTCCTTCCCTCTCCTCCCTAATCCTTTCTCTGCTCCCTGTTTAATCTATCCTTCCTTCCTTTTCTCATACAATGGTAAGGGATGCTAGAAACCTTCCATTGTACCTCTGTATCTCCTGGTGAACCATCATACCATTAGCTACCACTAGTTCCTTGAACAATGGCATTACTATACCTCTTCTAACTGCTTTATGGATGTATATTTGTGCATGTGTGTGGAAAGAGCATCCTGGTTGCCCTGGTACTCCGTTCTTCAGCAAATTATTCTACCAGAACATCCTGGTGTTGTAACCCACAGGGATGACCTTACCCCTTACTGTTAGAACAAGAGCTACTTCCTTGTAAAGCCCTTGTGGGATGTGGCACAAAGGCACAAAGCCACATCTCCTTGTGGCATGTAAACAAGTGGTCCAGGTGGAGAACTTTAATTTGGAAGGACAACGTTCCTGTTGGACCATTGGCACCGACTCACGTCCTGGATCTTTCCCTAAGAGGCTAATATGATAACCCCAGGGAGAACTTTCACTTGTGAGGCCCTGGTGCATCAAGTTTGCTCTTCCTAGTTAAAAATTATGTTGCCTGAGCCTGAGCAAATAAAAGGAGAAAGTCCCTTTTGCTAAGTCTGTTGAAATGGCTCAAACTCTTTCACGGGTTGGTTGCTCTGCAAGCTGATGCTAAGGTGTTTGAGAATTCAAGGAAATAAAATGCTTTTTTTCCCCTACCAGTTTATTCCCATTCTGGTCTCTGCCATTTGAGGCACTGTTCGCCTCTGTATACGGTGGGATGGTCCTGCTTGCAATAACCACATTTTCAGCAATGTTTGCAAATAAGGAGGTGTTCTAATCTAAACCTTTAAAGGCAACGCTTCGGTATTTCCAAGGTTTTTTCCCCTCCTGATAACCAGGCTTCTATAAAATACACATTGCTGTGTATTTATTCGGTCACAAGATTCCAATTTATAAATCCCTTAACAAGAATAAAAGAATAACAAGAGTTGGAAGGGACTTGGAAGTCTTCTAGTCTAATCCCCTGCTTAGGCAGGAAACCCTATATCATTTCAGACAAATGGTTGTACAATCTGTTTTTCAAAACCTCCAGTGTTGGAGGACCCACAATTTCTGGGGACAAGACCTTCCACTGTTTAATTGTTCTCACTGTCAGGAAATTTCTTCTTAGTTCCAGGTCAAGGGTGGGATTCTACCAGTTTGCCCCTATGCGCTAGAACCAGTTCCTAACATTCTAAGCAGTTTGGAGAACTGGCTATTAGAAGAATTTTTTACTGGCCTAATCCTGTAAGGCAGGCAGGAAGGAAACATTCTGGTGTTGCTTACAGAAACTGCCTCTCCGTTAACCCTTATTACATACTTGGCAGGATTAGACTTCCTGTCTCAGGAACTTCTCTGGAGATTTTTTCCCCTTCTTTGCTGGTACTTTGCTCATGTGGAATGACCATTCACAGTTACAATGGCACTCAAAAAAGTGACTTATGACCATTTTTCACACTTACGACTGTTGCAGCATCCCCACAGTCATGAGAGGCCAGGCGAGGAGATGCGTGCCTCGATGTGAGTGATATTGAGTTGGCCACGCCCAGCCAATAACATGACCACCAAGCCATGTCCACCCAGTCACATGACCACCAAGCCACACCCCACCAACTAAGCCGGTTGTTAAAAAATTTGAATCCCACCCCTGGTTCTAGGTTGCTTCTCTCCTTGACTAGTTTCCATCCATTGCTTCTTGTCCTGCCTTCAGGTGCTTTGAAGGATAGATTGACCCCTTCTAAGCAGTGGCAACTCCTTAGCTGTTGGAACACTACTATCATGTTACCCCTAGTCCTTCTTTTCATTAAACTAATCCAAGGGCCTTCAAACTTGGCACATTTAAGACTTGTGGACTTCAACTCCCAGAATTCCTGAGCTAACATGATTGAAGGAGGAATTCTGGGAGTTGGAAGTCCACCAGTCTTAAAAGCTGTCAAGTTTGAAGACCCCTGAACTAGACTCATGTAAGGTATATTTATATATTTTTGGACCCTGCACATTTATTTAGTAGAAGAGGAAGAAGAGTTTTATCAGCAATGCAGAGAATAATTGAGGGTTCTAAAACCCCAATCAAGGCACAGGATTTCTGCTGGGGGGTGGTGGGGGAAGCAGAAGAGACATGTCTGCATCACATCATCCTTTTTGGTGGTACCTGTAACAGGGATAGAGACCTTGAAACCTGCCCAATGACACCATTCCAGCTAGGCCACATAATCTGCAGGTTGGCAACACCCCCATTCCGGACCTGCGTTGATTAGTACTTCAGTTCTTGTATATAGTTAAGCTGCTTGATTTAGTCATTTTTAAAGCCTTAAATCTGTGGTCAGAATTATCTTCTAGGCTGGGCCTCTGCCTGGCTTTGAATATGTAAGGCAGCGCTTCCTGATCTTGGCCATTTGACGGTGGGTGAACTTTGATGTCAACTTCACACATCTTCAAGTGGCCAAGATTGGGAAACACTTCTAAGGAAATGCTAAGATTCTTGGCAACAGCCTACATTCATGAATGAAGCTAGCAATAGCACTTATATCCCACTTCACGGTACTTTACAGCCCACTCTAAGCCGTTTACAGAGTCAACCTCTTGCCCCCACAAAATCTGGGTCCTCATTTTTCTGACTTCGGAAGGATGGAAGGCCAAGTCAACCTTGAACCAGTGAGAATTGAACTCACGGCAGTGGGCAGAATTAGCCTGCAATATTGCATTCTAACCACTGGGACGGAGGGAGGGAGGAAAGGAAGGAAGGAAGGAAGGAAGGAAGGAAGGCCAATAGCAATAGTGCTTAGACTTATATGCCGCTCACAGTGCTTTCCAGCCCTCTCTAAGCAGTTTACAGAATCAGCATATCTGCCCCCAACAATCTGGGTCCTCATTTTACTGACCTTGGAAGGATGGAAGGTTGAGTCAACCTTGAGCCGGTGAGAATGGAACTCATGGCAGTGGGCAGAGTTAGCCTGCAATATTGCATTCTAACCACTGAGAAAGAAGGAAGGAAGGAAGATAGCAATAGCACTTAGGCTTATACGCCGCTTCTCAGTGCTTTCCAGCCCTCTCTAAGCAGTTTACAGAGTCAGCCTCTTGCCCTCAACAATCTGGGTCCTCATTTTACCCAGCTCAGAAGGATCGAAATCAACCTCGAGCCTGTCAGAATTGAACTGCTGAACGTCTGGCAGCCGGCAGTCAGCAGAAATAGCCTGCAATGCAGCATTCGAACCACAGCTCTTAATAGGTGGACTTTCATGCCAATTTCACACAACTAAGAGGCCAAGCTCAGGAACCACTCTTGTAAAGAAATACTTAGAATCTTGGCAAAACCCTACCTTCTTTAGTGAAGATGGGTGGACTTTTAATGCCAATTTCACACCTCTTCAAGGGGGTCAAAATGGGGAAACTCTGTTCTAAGGAAACACTAGAATCTTGGCTACATTTGCAAGGTCAACGTTGTTTTTTATAGTTGTGGGCAGAATCCTGGCTCTGAAAGGAAATTAGGAGGTTGGGTTCAAGGCATTGCTTCCGTGCTTATTGCACTTGTTGAAAAATCTAGCCCAACAAGATAACTTGGGTGCCCTTGGGGGCTGTTTTATTCCACTGCTAAGTCTTGCAGGGATCTTCCCCTGCATTTCATTAGAGTTACTTATTTCAGTGTTGGACTTTGACAATTTCTTGTAAAGCCACCAGTTTCCTTGTTTGACTTTCCTCAAAGCGTAAGATGAAAAAAGGGCTTTCAAAAATTGCAAACGGGAAATTCCAAGTTTTGCAGAATGGTGCAATCCGCTTGCAACTTAGCATGACATAATGGGTGTTCCCCCAAGAGCTTCTAATTTCCAAGGAAAGACTGGCCTGAGGTCATCAGGAAGGTTCCAGGCCTGGGGAGAACCAGAGCCTAGATTTTCTGGCTGTGAATAAACGATTTCACAAATGAATGAAGGTTTCCTTTACTACTGTTGTGATTTGCCTTAGAGCAGAGGTCTCCAACCTTGTCAACTTTAAGACTTGTGGACTTCAATTCCCAGAATTGGTGGCTGGAGAATTCTGGGAATTGAAGTCCACAAGTCTTAAAGTTGACAAGGTTGGAGACCTCTGCCTTAGAGGGGTGTGTTCCTTCCCGCAAGGGCTGGAACCCACAAAAGGTGTTTAGATCCAGTGGTGGGATTCAAATTTTTTTACTACCAGATCTGTGGGCGTGGCTTGGTGGCTTGGTGGACGTGGTGTGGCTTGGTGGACGTGGCAGGGGAAGGATACTGCAAAATCCCATTCCCTCCCCATCCCACTAGCCTGCTTTCCTGCTCCGTTCTCCCTTGGCAGGGCAACCAAAGAAGACCCAGCCGATCAGCTGGGACTCAATGGGAGGCAGAGAAGAGATGGGGTTGGCGGGGCCAGTCAGAGGTGGGATTTGCCGATTCTCCAAACTACTCAAAATTTCTGCTACCGGTTC